CTGCTGGTGTATCAGGAAATATTAAGGACTATAGTTTAGTATTTAGTATTTTGAATGTTCAGAAATATGTGAAATCAGATTTAGATAAAAATATTTAAAAAGACAATAGGGACAGTGTTTAATTAATTCCAATTACTTGTTAGCATAACAGATTTTTTAAGCAGTACGCAGCTGGTCAGCTGTACATAAAAAATGTGAAATGATGAATGAAATGAAATTTGAACGCAAACAATTCAACATCTATGGAGAATCAAGTTTCCAGTAAAAACTACATATCCATAAATAAATGAACAATAGTTCAACTTGATCTTTTTTGTGAAGGAATTTCCTATTTTCCCTAAAATTATTACCAAATTAAAGAGTTCTTCCCAGTAAAAACGGGTACATGCATGGAAAATAAAGCGTTACCAAAACGGTATTTTAATAATCTTTGCAAATCAAGAATTGTGTTTTTAAATCTATTTTTTTTATAAATGTTCTGTTTTTCACTTTACTTTTAATTAGTCTAAGCATATTCTGCAGCCTGTACTCACCAGAAAAAAAGCCATGCAGGTCCTTAATGAAGCACGTTATTACGACCACAAACTCTAGTTGCTGTAAGACGAGGAGGAAGGAGGAAGTTGGGCGACGTATTATAAATTGTAGGAAAGTTTGCGTAAGGAGGTGGACGGACGGGTCCACCAACCCCGGACTTTCATCATGTGAGTGGTCACACGATTTACATGACATATTTACTTTAACCCAAAACACAATGTTCTCGTAAACCTAACCCAACTGCGACACAGTTCACCACCTATTAAAGGTCCAGTCGCCGGTACGTGAAACGCTTATATGTCGTTTTAGGAGGCATTGAAAGACGACCTATTTTGTCATTTAGGTTGGAGGAGTTGATGATAGTCTGAGTCTTGTACTTAAGTGTCATTTTGCAGCCAGAAATTGTTTTGATGAAAATAGAAATCTGCATGGTCAAACCGATTAACTGCTTTTTAATAATCTGGATTCTTTAACATTACATTTATTCATTTAGCTGACGCTTTTATCCAAAGCGACGTACAATTGCTATGTGTCAGAGGTTGCACGCCTCTGGAGCAACTATGGGTTCAGTGTCTTGCTCAGGGACACATTAGTGTCTCTCAGTGGATTTGAACCTGGGTCTCTCACACCGGAGGCATGTGTCTTATCCACTGTTCCATCACCACCCCAAATGAGTAGACATTTAACAAATGAAGAGCCTTTATTACAGAATTAATGCCGTGTTTGCACCTGTCATGGAAGGATGAATGCTGCTTCTGCAAGAACTTACTGCTTCCAAAGTCAGCCATCAAAATGCTTCCTCTGAGGCAAAAGAGAGCGAACGAGCCCTGGTGATCGGGTGAGCAGGGGGTAACGTGACTGATGACTCTAGCCGTGGCCTAGATTAACGACGAGTGGTCACTAGCCATCTTCAAATGGACGAGAATGTGCTTGCATTTCTGGCTAATCCCAGTATAGATTTGAGAGATGAGATACGTTTCTGGGCACGATAAAGTCCAGTAATGGCTGTGTGTGAAGCGAAGATTAGTCTTCTAACAACCCCTTTCACATCGACGCATCACACAGAGCCTCTGGTTGACTCTTCACTGGGGTCAGGCCTTCAGCTGATCCTGATTAAACTGATTATTTAAGTGAAGTAAGCTGTTCATTGACTATTCAGCCGGAGACCAATCATTTTGTTGACCCCTTCACCTTTAGCCCGACGCCACCATCTGGTCAAAATTTCCTCTTGACCAACATTTTGGTCCGGACTAGAGGGAGAGACCCAGGCGTGGATTTTCCGGTTTGTGCAGACAGTTATATTTTTGAGCTAACGGCATGAATGCTTCCACCTTAACGAACAACACCACACACTTCCACCTTAATAAACGAGGCTTAGAGCGCCGTCATAACGCACGGTCCACTGAGCTGCCCCGAGCACTGATTCATGCAGGTCATGAGCAGGACAGTCACATACTGTACTCATGAACACTCACAGATTGCTTCTGTTCTCCTGCCTCCTTTCACCTCATGGGAGAGGAGAAGAGAAACCACCCGGGACTGATTCATTATTAATGTGGAGCAGAGCCGTGTTTCAGAAACACAAAGGCAGAGTGATCTCGTCTCAGCCACCCATTCAGTCCGTCAGACAGCCGCTGATCAAATGTTGCAGAAGTCAGAAAGTTGTGCTAACGAGGAGAGCGTTAGTGCTTTTAATTTGAGCATAAGGACTGAAAGAGCAAAACTGATATGATGCATCTTAAAACAATACTTTGACGATAAGGTTGTTCACTCTCTGGTGCTGTATGAGAAGATCAATACTCTCTCTATCCATTAAACATAAGGCAACAGCCAGCAGCCCGTTAGCTTAGCTTAGTTTAGCCGTACACAGGGGGAAACAGCTAAGATATCTAATTCTAGTAGCACCTCTAAATCTCACCAATGAACACACTCATTCTTGTTTGTGTGAAAAGGAAGATTGCATCAGAGACTCTGAGTGGAGAAACAGCCTGACAACACGTAAAGCAGCAAAGTGATGTTATTAAACCTAACTAGTTTTCCCTGTTTCCAGTCTTGGTGTTAAGATTTAAGGTAATGGGCCAACCAGTTCTCACTCCCGGACTCGTCAAATATTTTTATTTAAGGCAATTTACGCAAAACTGGACGTTGCATATTTGTTGTTAAGCGTTGCTAACTTGACCGCAGAGCCCTAAAGGTCTAAAAATGACGCTAAAAGAGTACCCAGGGCATTTAAAAAATGGAGCTGAAAGGCCTTGACCAAGCGTCAATATGTGACGATTTGTTCAACGGGCTGCTGGCTCTGGCCTTAACTGACAGATGACAGTGGCTCCAACTCCACCAGAAGGCGAACGCGCTTTGTACAGCTTAAGCTGTGTTTAGCTGTGCTCTGGATATTAACATTAGTTACTAGTCCTTTAAGTAGTCAAAGTGTGTGTTACCCACCAAATATGTAAGGTCTCAGGCATTTAGTTTATCTGTGTTCCAACCTGACATACTGTTGTGGTTTGGGCTTTTTGTGTGTGGTATTTTCTGTCTTACTTTAAAGGTGTCCTTCCTTGTGTGTCTTGTGCAACTTTAACTTCCTTCCTTGGTATTTTTCCTTGATTTGAATGTTTGCACTTGTCTCTTTTCCCTGATTGTGTCCACCTGTGCCTCGTTTTGTCACCTCCCTCTTGTGTTCTTAACTCTCTGTCTGTCTGTGCTTCAGTCTTTGCAGTAGTCCAGCATGAATTATCATCTCCTGCTCTGGCCTGAGTGTGGCAATATTTCTTAAATAGAAGAAACACAAAGCATGATCAAATATAACACTGAGGTTCTGAGATTTGACGGTACAGATGAAGAAAGGGACCCAATCCTTGAGCAGCCATGGGAGCTATACTGTCTGAAGCAACAATAAGGACCTCAGTTTTATCTGCATCGAGCTGTTAGCCATCCAGTCCTTAATAGCAGCCAGACAATTGTGCGAAACAGTCAGTTTGTTTTATCAGGCCTAAAAGAGACATAGATATCATCAGTGATAAAGAAATTTCTTTAAATTTGCTAATAATATGACACAAAGAAAATAACCCAGAGCCCAAGACAGAACCGGACTTGAACTTACCTAAAATGTTTGTGATAAGAGGCAGCTTAGATAGAGGCCTGTAGCTTTAGTTCTTTAGTTTATATGAGGAGGCTGCACTAAAGGGCCTGTTGAGGTGGTTTGAACATGACTGAAGAGGTGTTCCAGGTCTGGATATGATGGAGAGAATAAACAGTTAATCCCATCTGGCCTAAGAAGTCCTGCGGACCCCCCACGTGCTGCCACCGTGACCTGGACCTGCAGGCGGCAGTAAATGAAAGTATGGATGGCTGATAGGTTGATAGAGAACAATTATGACTGCTGATTCAGCAGTCTGAGTACTAATGGTCTGAGTTTACTTGTGGGTTTCCATTTGCAGTCTCCACTGACTCCCTCAGAGCAGCTTTCTTATGTAATGGATCTGCTTGCCTGCAGCTCAGTCATTACTTTTGAATGAGGCTTTTGACGGCTGGAGTAGCAGGAAAGCAGGCTATCTGACGGATCTACATGACTCTGCAAACAGGAAGTTAAATATACAAATTGTTCCTGCAGAGGATTTATGGCATTCCTGATCCACCATATGATGATACAAGAGCCACTAACATTACAATCTACACCGACGATGCTGGACTGTCAGACATTTCAAACTTTAACTTGAAAATACAAGTTAACTAGAAGATTGTCTTTGTTTAAACTTAGTGTTCTAGTTGTTTCAACATTGTTTTTTTAGTTGATTTAACTTCATACTTTGAGTTAAAACAAATTATTGTTTTATTTATCAATGCAAGAAAAACTTGTCTTATCCAAGTTAACCTACATACATGCATTGTTCTAACTCAGTTTCCAGTTAAAACAACTTGAATATGTTTATACTACTTTCCATTTCAAGTTAAGAGGATTTAAAAAAACAACAACAATATTTGTTTCTTTTTACCAGGAACACTAATTCTTGTTTACCACAAAAGTGTCTAATTATTTTTTGGTGAACACATGATTTATCTGCAGTGTATATTTAATAGGGATGAGTGAATACAACACAATCTGTTTCCTTACCCGGAACAGGGCGGGCTTAACCTGAACTTACTGGAAGTTAGTTATTTAAGCCTGAAATTATTATGAGTTAATCAGAAGTTGATATAGGAAACTTATAAAATTATAGAGCAACCTCAGAATTGAGCTTCAGAGCAACATTTTTGATTACAATATTAAGAAAACAATTTAAAATGTTATTAGAAAACAGATATTGACACATTTTACACTGATTATCTGTACTGGATACTCGTTTCAACCAAATACTCACTCAACCCTAATAATTAGTTGATTATGTCCATGTTTCAACTTTGTTTAACACAACAACCTGACCTGAACGATGGATTTAAAAAGAGGGCATGTTTTCTATACAGTTGAGCACAGTTCATTTATTTATTAAACATAGGTGGTAGAAACATAAAGCCTTGTTAACTTTAATATATATTAGGTCATATTATACAAATAATTTACAACATTGCAGTACATTAAAGAGAAAGAAAAGGCCACATTAAACTTAGTCACAACTAGTATTCAGAATGACTGTTGTGCATATACCGGATGTACGATCCCAAGCCATACATTTATTACATTATGAAAGACTTAACTTTGTACCTGTCATACAGTGAAACACACAGATACTCAAGTCAACAAAAATAAATTATTATTTTAAACACAGAACACAAGTCGAGGTTTTGCAGACAAAGTTGTTTTTTGTTGTCACTGTTGTTTCAGCTATTAGCAGAAGCAGGAACACCATGAGACAAACACACAGATCAGTGAATGAATACAGGACTGACCCCAAGTACGTGAAGACAGATTGCATTTGTTACACTCATGCCAGTAAGGATCTATGATAAGTTATTTCTTCTTTGTGTTTGCAATCTTCCTCTCAGTCTTGCTTCACGCCTCTGAATTCTAACAGCATTGTGGAAAACAACGAAAGAGATGTTTCGATTTAACTTTAAACTGTAAATCAAACACAAAAACCAAATCAAACAAAATACCAAACTGAAGACATAATTTCTGACTTTTTTCTGATGGGAATTTATGTGTCAATATTATTGACATTCTTTTGAGTAAAAATCAATAATGGAAGCAACTGTTAGTCACAGCCTTTCACACCGGCCCAAAAAAGTCAGAAAGATTCAGATCATTCAGTGTTTGGAAACATATGGAAAACATTTGGTTATTCTTCAAAAAGCAACTTTTTATGCAGCACTCAAAATGGTCATCACGTGTATTCAGCTATGAAACTAGAGCTAAATAATGTGACCAAGATTATATTATTAGTTCCAAGTTGATCTTATGGTTTGTGTCATTTCAGAATTTCTTTTCCTTTTTTGGGTTAGTTTTTTAAGCTCATCATAATCTTTATTTTTATTGACTTTCTGAATTTGGTTTTATTTTATAAAACGTCATCAACTCATTTTGACAAATCTAATCTAAACTTAATATCCACTTAACAGCTTTTTCCAGAGCTTCATTACTAAGGTGATGCTGTTGAAAGTCCTGAAATAGGAAGTAAGTGTAAGTGTAAGTGAGGAGATTTGATTTTCCTGTCAAACTACTGAACAATGAATAATTAAGTTAAACATCAGCTTACTTTTAGGCTTCAAATGTGTCCTAATTAGGGAAAGGGTTTAACTTTCTTTTTTATTAACTTTCACTTAGTTTAAGTTATCAATAACAATAATTGGTCATTACTTTAGCACTAGGGCTAAAATAAAATTAAAAAACAACAGATTGTATAAAGACATGATAAAGATCACAATCAACAGTTTTACTCTCAGAGCGAGACGGGTGAGGAATGTCAGAAATCTAAAAAGAATAAGTCACCAACAGAAGCTCAAACTGGACATGATTGCAAATATATTTTTAAGCCTACAATACCTATATCGCAACTTATCTTATTTTGTCAGGAGTTTGGTGACACAAATTTGAATTATCCAGCGAAAACTCTGAACTTATTGAAACTTCTTACGAATTACAGAATCCCCAAAGACCTCTGGGAACAGTGTAATAACTGCTTTATAATTCAATAAAACTTTAAATTAAGTTTACCATAAAAATCAAATTATTTTTCAACATAACAGGCCTGAAGAAATTAGCAGTCTTGCCCACTTTGAGCTTCCACAGAATATCGAGAGATTTCATTTTACTTTATCACATTTCTTTCCTCTCAAAACACTAACTAGGAAGACGACTTACTGTACATTCAATACATTAATTTACAATACATTATTTCTGTGTGCAACCAGTCGATTACAAACCCTACAGTGCTAATATAAATACACACTTTCTTCTTTGATGGTACTTCAGATGCATTTGACAGGGTTATTAACTGAATCAGGTTATGATTAAGGCACTATTAACTTTTTATGCCCAGATGTGAACAAACAGACAAATCACCTTTACTGATGATATTTTATATTTTATGGATTATTGCTTATAGATGAATAACTGTATGTACTGCAAGTGACCCCTGCTTGTTTTTCTGCAGCTTAAGCATTTCACAACACGACTTAACATTTCCAAACTCTACCCCAATCCTTAGCCTTGAATACATTATTCTTTTCAATTTCAATTATTTTAGGAGCGTTAAGCGTTGTATAGCATTTAAATATCATTATAAAGTCATGGATATGTAGTGAATACAGAATTATGTATTTGGCCCCAAACTGTTTCTGGCAGCAGTGTCCCAATAAACTCCCCCAAACAAATGTCCCAACCTGTTCTCATCCCCAACACGTCACATATGGAAACTTTGTCAACACCCTTGGCGTCACTTTTTTAACGCCCTGTGTACCCTCTAACCCTCTTTTTTTTTTTTTGCACATGTAGGGATTTGTGGTGAAGCTATCAATAATACATAATAAAATGTCCTGGGTAAAAGTCTAGTTTCTCACCCGCAAGTCCACCCCAACCAGCTCATTAATTCAGTCGCTACCAAACAGAGTTCCCACAATAAACGCGGAAAGGATATCCGCCAATTCACTCATTCATACTAAACAAAAGTTTGCAGCATAATCCCGCAACCATATGTGTATTCACATAGCGATCCGGCTTTCTGGACTCCAGCAGCTTGTCAGAAAAAGATCGTTACAGGTATCTGGCTATGGCCCTTCACAGAGACCTTGTTCTGGCTCTGTTACTACCAACGTTCCCGGCTCAGAGGCGGATCAAATCTGACCCATTTCTCCAGCTCCGTACCTTTCATACAGAGCAGCGAGCCGGCATATTGGCGTAGTAGTGTGAAAGTGGCTCTGAACTTTTAAGTTTTTATACTGAGCCTACTTTTAGCGTTGAACAACTCTGAAGGCTGCCGTGTGTGTTGGTACCAGAAGCTGAAGGACATGACAAAGCAGAGGTATTTGACGCCATCTATAGATTGTTAAGGTTAGGGCTAAGACATTGTCTTCCTACTTCCAGACAGTCATTACAGTATAGAGAACGATGCAGATACCAGCAATACTATAGGATTTAACCTATTTTTCATATTTGCTGATGACCACATTTCAGAAAGAGGGTTTAAATGAAATGTATTTTCCATATTCCCTTCAGACAATGACTGTTACCTTCAGCATACAAAACATGATTTACATTTAAATCTTAAGTCTGATTTCTTTCTGTCTTTCTGTTTCACTCTGTCCTTCAAAGTGCAAGTGGCTGCTGTTGGTGACCGCGGATGAAGTGGCATCTTGCTTTTGTTTAAGGGCCCTGAAAGGCCACGTCTAGAAGGTGTATATTATATACTAAAATGGAAGTAAGTAAATAAAAGAAATGTATGACCAGCCGACATTTTGTACCAATCACTGAAATTTCTGGTTACCTGGGATGCTTCCTACCACACACAAACTCAAATACAAACTGAAGTCACATGTAGTTCTCCCTTTTTGTAGTAAAAAATAATGTCAACATATATAAATAGTTTTTTTTTATTATCAAAACAAAAAAAGCTGGACTGATGGGGCATGTCAGTGTTTGATTAACCTCAGCTGGAAGGCTGTTTGGTGCTGGTGTTACACCGTAGGAAAGATTACACAAAGTAAACAAACTTGATCTGTAGCCACATGTCATGGGCAGCGTGTTGTTTGTGGTACTGAAGAGTGAGGACCACAGCAGCATCTTACCAGACCGAAGTGTCATTTGCAGTTACGTTTACCTGCTGTTTAATGTGCTGCAGCTAATTAGCTATCGTGCCTGAAAAATGTTATCGGTGAACTTTTCCCCAGAGACTGTTTGTTTGGTCGCTCGTCAAACAAGCTGCAGGTCAAGAAATGTGCTTGTGTTTGTAAGTTCGATAAGAAGCAGACTTGAGCATGAAGATAATGTAGGTTGTTGATGTTGTTCAGAGTCTGTGGCTCTGGTTGGCTCAATGTGACCGTCTTCTCTGCCAATAAAATAATGACATAACTGCTTTATGCAAGATTAGAATGGCTGTATTAAAATAAGAATCATCATTTACGCAGACGACCTGATAGTATTCGATTGAATTAATGCAAAACTACAGGGCACCACCCTGAAATCAAAAGTATAAAATATTATTTTCTACCTTCAGATTTCTCTTTTTTTTTCTAAGAACACAGGTGATTTACAGAGCAGATACATGTACAATGTATGCTGTAGCAGACAAACAAATGCTGTTTAATTTCATGCGGACTTTAAAGGTCTTTCCCCTGCTATCCTCTAACCAATTGACCAAACACACACATTCACACACATTAAAAGTGCACAGTTTAAAATCAACCTCACCATCTTGTGGAAATGTCTATGGCACATGAAACAGAAAATGACACATCTGCATGTGTAGTCGTCTGAAACACATGGAGATTGAAACTGATCAGGATTAAAGATTTATTTTATCAAAAATAGATCACAATTGAAGATTGTCAAAATAAACATGGCAACAATAACTGGAAATAAAATAAAAAGGAAAAGGAAAAGAAATCAAAATGCGTTTTTGCTTCCACACTGAAGTTCCCAGAGCACAGAAATCACTCACACTATTGCTTTTTCTTATTTTTGCATGAAAATGAGACAGTTATGACAAGCCTGAACTGAACCCTGCAGCTGATAATGAAGAATGTCCTCTAAGACGTCGCGATGGCTGTTGTAGGAAATATTAAGTGATGGTTAAATATTTGGGAATCTGACCAGGCTGACTGTAGTCTTTAGTCATAAGGACATTTCTGCACTCTCAAAGGAAATGCTGTATTATTATTGATGCACATACAGTATGCAAAATACATTAATTATCACAACTAATGCCCAGTCACAGATCATCAGTGCCTCTGTCAAAAATAAATCACCAGTGGCTGTTTTTATGTCTAAGCAAAGCAGAGTTACAACAAGATGTTAACAATGTTTTTAACGACTAGTACCAATAACAAGTTCAACATTTTAGGAAATATCTTTGTCACTTTCCGGCGGAGTCAAATAAACAGCAGGTTTTCCCATTCTTCCAATAAATGCCATCACCCCCAGGACTAGATTCTTGTCAGGGTGTGAAAAACTATGACACAGTATTTAGACCATCTCCTCACATAAAATTTCATTTCCATTTAAACCTAATAATAAAAATAATAATAGAAGTGACTTACAATTGCTATATATGTCAGAGGTCGCACGCCTCACCATAGGTATGTGTCTAATCCACTGCCCCATCACCACCACTCAAACTATGTTATGTTAACAAAGGAAGGTTAAAATCAAAGCAACTGCATTTGGTTGAAGATACTCAGACATTTTGTCTTTCATGTGAGATACTTCTTCAGTCTGACCTACTGGTAGGGAAACTCAGTAATTTAACCTCTGTGGGGTCGTCTGTGCGGTCAAGATGATCGCTGGTCTTGTAACAACAACAGTTGTTATGGTTGTTGGAGCCACCTGAGGCAAAGTCTGAACCACCATCGCTGGCATCTTCACCTGAGGCCAAAAGTGAATATTTGTTTAGTTTCCTGGGAAGTGATGAAAGGACAGCATTATAAGGGGTGTTGCAGACCTCCTCTCCTGTTAAGCAATGGGTTCTCAACCCAGATGTAAACGGCTTCTTTACACCTCTTTCAAACCACCCATCCTCTGTCCAAAATTTGCAACTGGTGGTCCTCAAAAGAGTGTTCTTTATCCTTCAGATGTAAGTAACCTGCTGAGTCTTGACCTGAGTTGACAAAATGTCTTTGAGTATCTTCAACCAAGTCCAGTTGCCCTTGATTTTTGACCTTCCTTGGATCACTATGACCTGGATGACTGAGAATCTTCACAGACATCTTGTATTAGGTTAAGCAGTTACTTTAAGACAGGCTGCCCCACTCCATTTATTCAATGGTAGGAAACCTCTGCAGTACATTATTGCCCTTAAATCAACAATTAATTCAAACAGTCACACTCGCTCACACAGTTTTTAGCAATTTCACAAATAAATTAAAATGTGCAAACAAAATCATGATCTCCACGCCGTTGGACGACATCTGATATTTAATAAAAAGGCCAATATTGGCTTCATAAATCTTCATCCCTAGTTAAATATGGTTCCCAATACATTTCCTTTAGCATCTTTTGCATTAATTCGGACTTCTCCAAGTTATTAAAATGTTAATTTAGAGAGCGTTTGGCTTTATTTAATTGCACCCGATAATTAGAGAGACATTTCGAAACTCAATCCAGATCTGATGACAGTGTTCAGATAACAGAGGGACGTCATTCAGGTGTTAAAGCTTCTGTCATTAATGAGCGGACACTGAGGTAGATGTTATCGATATAACAGATATACAGCATTTTTATCAGAAACATTCAAAATTATTAGAAGAAAATCAGATGTCAAATGTCTGCGAAAAATGCATTTCAACTGTCTTTTTTTTCACACCAACAATCTTCTTGTAGGGGCAGTTGTGTCTCTCATTTTTTAAAAGTGTTTTTGGCAGGCAGACATTTTCATCAGAGCTGCCCACTGGAGCTGCTTTTGTTTTTACCAAGGCAAAAATTAAAACAAGATAATTAAAACACATTAGCAAAAATGGTAATCAAAAATAATTCACATGGTTAACCAATTCCTCTCCATATAAAACATATACAGTATGATACTAAAAATATAGATTTAGCAACTAACTCCACCAGTCAAACAGAATTATTTGAATAAACTTGATATTGATGAGCTGCTGTTGTTGTTGTTGTTCAGACTAATGGTGCTGGGTTGAGCCGTCAACACAAAAGTCAAACATGTGTTCTTCTGTTTACATGCTCTACTTTCCAAGCATGCAATAATACGTTTTGGTTTGAATATGATATGCGACGTACAGACAGGACTTACAAGTTCTTTTTCTCTACAGCAAGAGGAGCAATCTCCCAAAAAACATCTACCAATGAATATATGGAGGACTCCGTTAGCCAGCAGACATGTTGTAAATATATGGAGTAGATGATTCAAGTAATGTTTTTCGTACCTCAGAGTCCCACTGTAGCTTTGCTCTGTGCAAAGATCTGTCAGGAGTCCTCTTGTAATGGAAAGGCGTCTCATAGCTCCGTGTTTCCTATGAGTGTCAGAGTTTGTGTCCAGAGTTTGTTTTAGTTCAACCTCATCAGAGGAAGAGTGAAGAAGAAGAGGGCTAGGGGGAAGCAGGGATGTTGTCCTCTTTTGGGTTGACAAGGCGCAGTGAAAGGGAAAAGCAAGGTGGAGGAGCGGCTCATCGTTCTTCCCCTGGAAAACAAAAGAGAAAACACACTGTTGCTGAATGAAAGAAAGAATATTACATTCATGAAGGAGACCTGTGTACATTGTGAGAGAGCTCCACACAAGAGTCGATAATTGTGACAAAAACAGAAGTTTAAAGGAAAGACATACATAGATTATTAAAAGAGAAAAAACTAATCTGGTCAAGGAAGCAGCATTAAAATGCCCGAGAGGCCTGGTGGGCCTGAATGTGATCTGCAGCTCATTGATAAAATCCTAAATTTGACAGGAAGCCAGCGTAACGTCAGCATCTGGGTAAAAAAAAATACTTTTTTTTGCTTTTACAAGAATACAAATGTTTGTTAATTAAAAATACCAGGACTGAATAAACGACTTGACCACTGAAGATCAACTTTGAGTCAGAAGTGCTGATATAAAATTGATTTGAGGTAAAAGCAAAAACAGTTTGTTGTAATCTAACCGGACATTATGTGACATCCGGGTACTTTTTCTCTTTAAGATAATTCTGCAACATAGCCACATTTTACAGGTGATGTGTTGTAAAGCACCTACAGGACAGTGCAACATGTCCTCATAGCTAAACAACAAAATAGCTGGATTGTCAACTGTCCAAAAACAAGACATGAGACCGTGGGAAAGTACGACATCTATGAATGTTCCCCAAAACGACATGTACGTTTTTTGTTACTTAATAATTGTTTTTCTAATAATATAGTTGTTTTTTATATTTTGGACAGTTAATTGACCTTTCTTCAAAGAAAACGTGTTGATTTAAGAGAGAAAGATTGAGAGACGGTAAATTGTCCACCTGCTTTTGATTTTTGGTAAGTGTATTCAGTGCTACTTCTAGTATCGTTAGAAGGCAAAATAACTGACTGTCTTCAACAAAGTTCAACCCTCTAGCATAATTTACTTTTCATGCAAATAAAACAAATGACCCCAGACCTTTTTCAATCTCTGAAGTCACTGAAATCCTGTGAAGCAATTGTGGAAGGTCTGGAACCTTCCAGGCTACAGATTTGCACATCTGATATCTAACATACAACGTAGAAAGACATCTGTATACTCCACTTTTTCCTTTCCCAGTCTCTCCATCTCGCGCGCGCACACACACACACACACACACACACACACACACACACACACACACACACACACACACACCCTCCAGTCATCTCAGTCACATGCTGAAGAAGCAGAGCCAAGGACTTGACAAACCAGCAGCCATCACTTCCTGTTTATTGTCCTCCAACATAGAGCTCACAACATCAACAAATGTTAAAGGATCACTACGGCCTGGACAACAGGGAGGCGAGGGCGGCCTGACCATCCGGGTATTCCTGCTGGGATACTGGACAAGCGGGTTGATAAACCACATCGTATTAAAATAGACAAAAATCAGAGAATCGCCCGTTTTGTATGTGTCTTGTTGATCAACAGGCCCAGACATGTCAATAAATCACACACTTGACATCTAAACATAATGAAACGGTTGAAATGTGGACGTAGGAGGGTGGCGCTGAAAAGCTGAGGGAGAAAAAAAGAAGTCACTTGAGGCAGGTCGTGCAAAGAGCCTCAAAGTGACACAGTAAGGTAACAGTTCCACAATGACACATTAATTTGACATCTTACTGTTTTTTTGTTTGATTAACGTAGAGACTAACCACGGGTCAGATCTGTTTCTGGGTTAATGAAACAAAAACTACTGAAATAAGAAATGGCCCTGTAAATTCAGCCTGCTGTAGCTCCTGTCTAGTTAAAATCATTCCTCCAACTGCTGCCGACCTTGCCTGCTGGTAAAGTCACCCTCTGACTAGTAGCCTACCACTAGGACTAGTATACTAATTACAGTATGTGATTAGATATTTTTCACAAGGCCAAAAGCAGAGGCCTGGTTCATTTTGTGATGTACTGTTGCATAAAATTCTCAATATTGCAGGAATAAAGGTCTCTAAAGAACAGAGCCCCCGACAAATGCTTTGTCCGGAGAGTGGGCTGTCCAGGGACAAATTCCCGGGCATTTTTTTGGCCCCAGACCACCCCTGCAGGGAGGACTTTGGTAATTATGAGGATGTGCAAATATGTGCCGGAAAATAGAAGAACAATGTTCATTTAGTTGTTGTTTTTGCACAGAAAATCCATCAAAAAAACAGAACCTGATGTATAAGCTGATTAATATCTTTCATACAGACCCTGAAATGTCTGCAGGGAGAATTTGTGAGTAATCATCCCTTTTAAATTAGTCATTTATAGTTTTTGAAATTGTTCCCTCAATTTGGCCATAGGCACCCTTGGATTACTTAATTTCTTCACTAGAATTAATAATTCATATCCTCTGAATGAAATGTTGCCCTCCTTTAACGGCCTCCTCCCTTTACTTTTCTGTAGAGCAACAGTACACTTTACATCATCTCAGCCCAGGACCATACGCAAGCAGAATTTAAATTGAGGGGATAAATAAGTAATTTGAGCTAAATTATTTGGTTGTTGAGCAGCTAACTGTCTTTTACATCTGTGACCTGACTGAACGAGAACTGTGTGTGTGTATTTTGCACATGATTATTTTAAAGTGTTTATGATAAACAGAAGCACAAAAACGTGTAACAAACTGAGCTGTTACCAGCTGGGGCCCTCTGAGATTAAACCCCCAGGGGCCACAGGAGGTTTGAATCCAGTTAGAAACTCTGTAGATTCACTGTATTGACCCAGTTTAGGTACGATATGGTGGGAAACTGTTTGCACCCACAGACAGCATAAACCTCTTGTACTGACAGGGCGTGATGACAACCCAGCAGCCGGAGAGTTGGACCAGAAACAGGAGCAGTGAAACCAGCTGGGTTCTGCATGTCATTTGTAAAATAATCCAGTGAAACTGCTCTCTGCAGTTTGTTGAGCTTCACTTCGCTCCAGCAGACACAAGGTATTATCAGCTGGCATCTTTAAGCATGGCTGCACATTTTCCATGAAGTAACCGCTAACAATAGCCTGTTCTCCAGGAAAGGGACATCAGAGGATATCAAGTACAATCAATATCGCAGTCACACAAACAGATGATGGTTTCATTTACTGAAGGACACTTACTGTACGAGGTGTGGAGATAATAACAAGTCTGTCAGTCAGTTCTGTTTCTCCAGGGGCCACTCGGGGCCACAAAGAAAGTGCATATTTAAAATGTTATTAAAAGTTCTTCTTGTTTCTTTGTTTGGATATTATATTATTCAAAACGATGTGAACCCGCCACTGTACTCTACAACCTTCAAACTATCAGATTGAATGTGGTTCATCCCTGTTGACATGAGGAATAATCCACAAACTGTGCAGTTATTGGAAAATAATAACTTGACCTTAATCAAACCCTAACCTGATGCTGACCCAACCTTAACCCGACCCTGAGGTGATCTAAACCTGATCTGTTACTAAATTGATTTGAACCTGCCAATGTCAAATCAAGAGATGTTTTTTTTTTCTATTTATTTTAATATCCAGCCTGCCTCTCACACACCTGCACACCAGACGTTACACATTAGCTGTGAGTTAAGTGCAATCTTCCAAAAGAAACAAAAGGGCAGGGCTTCATGTGTTGGAGCCACATTCATGCCTTTCAAGTGTCGATGAAAAGTAGCATAGACGAGCGTATTCTCGAGCGTCCACTGGAAGAAAAACTTCTACGATAGTTTATCAATGTTTCTAGTGACATTCTGATGTCAGCTGGCTCTAAGGAATACACAGTTTTGGTCTTCTTGGACCTTTCATTTGCTTTCAATACTGTTGATCATAATATTATGATAAATAGACTTCATGATCTGGTTGGGATGTCTGGATCAGTTTTAAAATGGTTTTCATCCTACCTTTCTGGTAGAAGTTTTAGTGTTTATGTAAATCAGATCATGTCTGAAACTGCAGGGTTGTCGTGTGGGGTACCTCAGGGTTCTGTCTGGGGACCCATCCTGTTCCTTTTGTATATATTTCCTCTTGGACAGATAATTAGTCAATTCAGTGACATCTCTTACCATCTGTATGCAGATGACATTCAATTGTACTGCTCGTTTAAGGAAACTGAGTTCCCATAAATAGTATTCTTTAACTAACTGCTTGACCAGTATCAAACAGTGGTTCTGTGACAACTTATTGCTTCTGAACTCAGAGAAAACAGATAAAGCAGCATATTGGTTACTTGGGCTCGTCCGTCCAACCGAGCCTCAGGAGTAAGGTGTTGTTTTTGACTCCGCGATGTCCTTGGAGTACCACTCTAAACAATTAGTCAGAAACTGTTTCTTCCAACTAAGGAATATTTCCAGATTACGAACACTGGTGTCAAAGTGTGAGTTGGAGATGATCATTCATGCTTGTATTTCCTCTCCTTTAGATTACTGTAACTCTAACTTTTTATTTGTTTGAGCAAGAAGGAGCTTTATCTTCTCCAGGCAGAACTCTGCTGCAAAGCTTTTAACTCACATTAACAAAAGAGCACACATCACACCTGTTTTAGCAGCACTTCACTGGTTACCAGTCCAGTATAGAATTCAATTATAATCCTGCTTCTCACTTTTACAGCCCTGCACGGTCAAGTTCCTCCCTACATCTCTGACTTGATACGGCTTCATACCCCGACCCTTCGTCTGAGGTCATCAGGTCAGAGGTTGTTAGTGGTTCCCTACACACATTTTAAAACCAGAGGGGATCAATCATTCCAAGCAGTGGCACCTAGGCTGTGGAATGCATTGCCTACCTTTCTACCTTGTGTGAATTCTGTTGATTCTTTTAAAAAGCAACTGAAGACTCTGCTACTCAAGCAGGTTTTTAGTTAGATGAGGGGTTTTTATAGTTTTTGTTCTGTTTTTCCATTTGTTTTTAAAAACATTTATGCATTGTATTTTACTTTGTTGTTTTGTATTGCATTTTATTGTAATTTGTATCTGTGAAAGGTGTAATACAAATAAACTTTACTTACTTACTATCATGAAGGTTTGTGGGCCCCTTTGGGATTTTGGGCCCTGAGCACGTGC